GATGTTGATAATAAAGCTTAATAAATATAAAAAAATACATTTAATTGCAATTAATTTAATAATATAATTGAAAATAAAAATCTTCAATCAAAACAACTATTTTGCTACAAGTAATGAATAAGTTTATAAAGTCTTGTTATAATAAATTATTAAACGATTACTTTTTTTTATTCTTTTAAGACAAAATTTTTAATGAAAGTTATAAATAATAAGTCTGTCCTTTTTTCCTTTATCATCCTTTTAAAGTTAGTCAACTACTCTTTCTTTCAGCCTGTAATATGAGTACAATTTTTAATTTGTATAAAATTAATCCTTTATCTTTAATATATTTATAATATCTTTAATAAATTCTATAAACACTATTTTTTTTATATTTTTTTATCTACCGTGTACATTTCATAACATGTATATTTCTTTGTTCTTTACATTAAACATAGATAATTTTAGATAAAGAAGAACTGATAAAGAATACATTTTGAAGTAAATTTTATAAAATCTCATTTTTTTTAGATGTTCATTTTTAATAACTCTTTATTATTTTTATCAATTATCTTTATTACTTTTTATCAATTATATATCACTTACCAATGATTTAATAATATGCTTTTTATAGGCAAAAAAGGACGAAGAAGAAAAATTGGAAGGTTTTGCAGCAATTACTGGCGATAAATCCGAAGAGGAAAAAGATTCACTTTTGAAAAATGTTTTGTGGCAAATGGATAACGATCGTAAGACAGCTGCTTTAAAGCAACTACAAGGACATATGTGGCGTGAAGCATATAAAACTGGCACAATTAAAGGACAGTAAGTGATTCTATCTTATTATTACTCTGATTTTCATCTCTATATTAGATAATTTGATTAATCCTGTATGTATCTTTACAAATCTCTGTATGCTCGTTCACATAGAATATTAGCGAGCCTACATAAACGATATTACATAGTTAAAATATATCACACAAATATGTTAAAGACATCCATAATATATATGTTTAAAAAAATCATATAATATACTATATTATGTAATTATCACAAATGATGAGGTGAATAGTAGTATTTGGGCTCACTTCAGTATATCTCACTTATATTCTTTATACATAAGATTTCTATTATATATGCATAACCATAATTTCTGTAATGCTTGTATTTTTAATTTTATATTTAATAATGTTAATAATGTTAAATTTATTGAAAATTACTTTTTACCTAAACAGCTATTATTATTGAAAAAAAAATGGTTTTGCAAAAAATCTTTTTTCCATTGTAATTCTTTAAAATAATGTTTGCAAATTAAATTTCATTATAAAAATTAAAATAATTGCAATCTAATAAAATCTAATAAAAAATGATTATAAAATTTTCAAGAAAATAAAAAGATTTAAATTAGTTTTAATATTAAGCTTCAATAGAATACCTCTTGTTTAGCATTTATGAGGATGTTCCTAAAGCGATTGAATCATGGACAAACAATGGCCAAAAAATATATGTCTATTCAAGTGGCAGTGTTGAAGCACAGAAGCTCCTTTTTGAATATTCTATACATGGTGATTTGCTTAAGGTATTCCGCAATAATATTATACTATAATGTCCTATAAAATATCTTGAAGTATTGGTATGAATTATAATATAATATTTTGTCCTTTTTTTAGTATTTCAACGGTTTCTTTGACACAGAAATAGGTGCAAAGCAAGAAAGTGACAGCTATAAAAATATATTAAGTAAAATCAGTGAAAATCCTTCTGATGTTGTTTTTCTTACTGATGTTGTGAAAGGTTCGTACATTTAAACTGTTTGAAGGTGGCTCAAAAATACAAAATATAAATAATAGAGAGCATACAGCCACAACACTAAATGTTTTAAACGGAAATCATATATTTAAAATTATAATATAATAAAATGTTTCAGTCAAGATTTAACCCTCATCAGTACATAACAATATCAAGATGTTGAAAAAAAAGAAAAGAACTACATAAAATTAACAATTTTCATTATTAATTTTATGTATTTCTTTTTTTTAACATCTTGATATTGTTATATATTGATAATAGTCAAATTTTAACTGAAATGTCTACGTTATTATGTTATAATTTTAAATATATAACTTCCGTTTAAAACATCTAGTATTGTAGCTGTGTGTTCCCTACTATTTATAATTCGTACATTTCCTTTCTTTCTGAATGAGAAAATAAATGTGAGAAATAAAAATAATTATAAAAAAAAATTTTCTATATTAGAATAATTGATATATTCTATATCAATTATCATCCATATTTGGATGATAATTGCAAATATCTTTGCTTATTCTTTTCTTTCTTTAATCAATAACAGAAGCTGCAGCTGCCAAGGAAGCAGGTTTATCAACAGTAATTGTAGTACGTGAGGGTAATGCTCCACTGACTGATGAAGAAAACGTTACATATACAACTATTAAGTCCTTTTTGGATTTGACATTTCAATCGTCTACAAAGCGGCAAAAAATAGAAACGACAGATGATAAAGTTGATGAAGGTACAGCTGACGTTAGTGAGCCAATGGACACTTCCGAGGATGTAGAAATGTCCAATGTCAGTGATAAAAAAGTTGAAAAAAATGATGCAAAAGAAGTAACTGAATCGATAGAAAAAGAATGTGCAAAGGACCAACCATCAGAAAGCACTTCAATTTCATCAGGACAAGTGAAAGAATCAGCAGTAGATGAAAAAGACGTTTCAAATACTGAACAGAAGATAACAGAATCTAATGTCAAATCCGAGGAGAGCATAAATGAGGAATCAGGTTCCTCTGAAAACACAAAAAGTGACGTGAAAGATGATGTCACACCAGCCACAAAAGACAATGATAAAGATATTGCAGAGAAGACTGAAGAAAATTTAGATACAACTGCAACTGAAATTACTACTGCAGCCGATGATTCCATGGACGTGTCCGTACCAGAGTCTGCATCAAAGTCCGAGACCACTATCACGTCTTCCGAAAAAAAAATCGAAGATTCTACAGATGTTACAAAAGATACACAAGCTGAAGATGTCGATAAAACTGAAACGATTAAAAGTGATGAAAAGGCAGATAACATTGTACCACAATCACAAACGTGTGACAAAAATATAGCAAACAAATCTGAAGAATGTGTGACAGCGAAAAAAGATGAAGTAAAGGAAGAATCAAAGATTGTTTCAGATACATCTGAAAGCGAGAATATTTTAGCAAAGAGCGAACAGGAAGTAACAAAAATGGAGATAGCAGTAGATGTCACAGAAAATGGGGAAGTTACAGAAACAGCTACGGAAAAAACTACGGTATCGGAAGCGGTAACAGAAACAGAAGAAACAGTTACGGACGTAAGGAAAGAAGCAACCGTATCAATTGAAGTATCTGCAGAGAAGAGTTCAGAAATAATTGCAGAATCTGAAAAAGCTGATGAAAAGGTCCAAACAATGGAAACGGAGACTACTGATGCTGATAAATGCGAGAATGAAACTACGCAACAAGAGACAATAAAAGAAGAGGAGACAGTGAAAGAAGAGAATGTAGTGGATACGAAAGACAAAACTACGGTAGATTCGGAAAAGCAAAAACTCAATGGAACCACACAAAACGGAAATACGGATGTGCCAGTGTTGGATGATAAATTACATAGTAACGGACTGAATGAAGGGCCATCGAAGGAGACAACGAACGAAGACGCGGCGGCGCAAAACGGTGAGCCGGAGAGTTTGTCAGAAAGTAGTGCGGAATCCATAAAAGTTAAAAAAGTCGTCGATTCCGCTGTAGCCGACGGTGCCGGAGAACCCGACGTTGTTCCTCCTGTAGTTGTAGCGGCGACGTCTTAACTTTGTTCTTATACAGTTTAAGGAGCCCTTCATGCATAACCCCAATCCACAAGTACTTATTCGCAGGTATAAACTGATATTAATTGAAATCCCATGTATACTTTATGTAAATCGTACTACGTCAAAAACGTAACGCGCTACTTTAAGATGCAATTCGTAAATCGTTTGTTTTGGCGGCTCTATAAAGAAAATAGAAAAAATAGTATAATACGGAAAGACGCTTCAAATTTTTTTAATTGTTTAGATATCTACAACTATACAGATATTTTATTTGATGACAATTTCTATTTGTATCGGTGTCATTAATGTTTTACATTAACTCGAATATATGCTGCTTTTCTATATTGCGAAGGACTTTTTACCATTAATTCTTTCATGTTTGTCTCTTATGGTTTTCAATTATTGTAATAATTTTTACAAAAAGACAATGAATTGTTATGATTAAAGTTACAAAACTTTTTTAGTTGTAATTCGCACGTGATCGATCTAAAAGTAATCAAACGTGTCATCCGCATCAATTACTACGTATTCTTGAGGGGCTTTTTTCTAATATTACTCTACGCGACATGTCCGACATCTTTTTTATACCGCCTAAACAAAACAACTACGCCTATACATGAAAACTGATAGGATAAGTAATTTCAAATAGAGTTGCAGTATATTAAAATATCGATTGTATCTGTGCCAAATGAATTTCACAGTTTGAAATCTTAATTTCTTTATTTTGTCCCTTTAATATTTTCTTCTCTTTGATAATTTTATAAATGATATTAAAAGATCTGGTCGATGTTTTATTTTACTGCTACAACAATGAAACCGACTAAGAATTATTTTAAGACTGTATTGGTATCGCCTTTAACAGTTGCTGTCTTGTAGATTATATCATAGATCTTCGTTGCGCACAGCATATTTAACTTTGTGAATTGATAAATAATGCATTTTAAGTCTGAATATTTGTAGATACATCGCACAATAAGCTTCACTCAATTACGTTAGTTTTGTTCGCGTTTTTTTTTTTATGTAAGGTGATAAAAAATTGTTTAATATTAGAATTTTTTGTATCGATACGCTTTCTTCCATCGTTTTGTCTGCCTAACATGGTTCGCGTAATGTAATTTTCTTTTTAATGATTGTTGCAATACAGAACCGTTAATAGCTTATGTCGCGAAATATTTGTCAAGGAGCCTAAAAGAGTGTATTTTAACTCTTGTATTCTACAACTTTGTGATTTAATCCGTAAGCTGCTGAGTTTTAGAAACGAATGGCTCTATATGATTACTTAAATAAACTGATCCAGTAATGACAACTTAAAAAAGTCATGTAGTCAATTGGATCCATTCTCTTCTATATATTAATTATATAATTTAGAAGCATTCGCGGAAAAGCATATCGATTCGTAGATTTACTCTGTCATTCCTATAATAAATTAATATTTTGTTACAGTCTACATGTGCAGAATGCATTTATATTATCGCTTTACAATTAATTTATTAGCAAATTTAATTGCCTGCATTACTAAAATATTTTAAAAGCTGCTATACATAAAAATCTCTAAGAGCAAATATATCTGAATTTTAAATGCAAAATATATGCATTTTAAGTTATAACATTCAATATATATATATAATATATATTGTATGTTTTATGTGTAGTAGTTTTTTGGTATGCACTTTCATATGTGTGTACTTCCACATGAAATTGCGATAGATAAATGATGATAAAAATACTTTGCATCAGCTAGTGATTTAAATTATGGATGCAAAGCGATAATGTAGATATATTGTATGTAGACTATTGCTCATTTTTGTGATGCTCAACATGATTTTGAAACATATATGGAATCAATATTAGAAAATAGCAGTTAAAGTGAGATCGTGCAGATTTCGGCAGAAAATCGATACTATTATTTTTATTGTTATTCGTTATGTCCATTCCTATTAAATTGACTGTGATTTATGAATATTGATAGACATAGGTTGCTCGAAACGATGTTATCAATACGCGAAAACGATCGTCTTTGTCGGGTGATATTCCATTGCGATTATTTTTATTCAGATTTAGTGTGTCCGCGTCTAGTCGAAATCAGTCAGAAGTGGCGGAGACTTCTATAGATCGATAGACGATTTCGCATTGTTTGCTTTACATTACGTTCGCCGACTATGCTAGGGAGACGCGATGAGACGAAAGAAACGCGAGTCTCATACGTCTACGATAGTGCACGTATAACAAGAGCGAACACAGAATCAATACGAGAGTAAGCACTTGATATTTTACGATATATTTTACTCTTAACACACCTCGCATATTTTATTTATAAGTCGTCTTTTCGAAGAGATAGATACTTTCGATACTTGCGACAGATTGTATTATTTTCATATCACTCGAAGTAATCAAGACAAAAGCGAACTCCCATGCTTTCTATTATGTTCATTTTTACCAATAGTTGAAAATCAGCGATCGAATCATTTTTTATATGTATGATGGCACAGATAAATGACTCAATCACTTATCTATACCATCGAATGTTCGCGTTCTAACGATTTTAAAATTGATATAGCAAGAATGGCAAGTGTTATGTCCTATGATCGTATAAGTTGACTAATAAATCAAATGGCGGGAAAAAAAAATATGCAGGATACAAACTTTTCAAATTTTTCCTATTTATTGACTGATTCATTGATATTATCGCACATGAAAGCCAAAAAACTGCCATGGTTTATAACAAAAACTCGAAGGTGAGGTGACGATGTGCTCGAAGTTCTACTCGGCTGACTTTCACGACATCGCCTGAATCATCACTTCCATATCATTCATACTACTGTTTTGCGTCAATAGTCGAAGAGGCCAAAGCGCACATCTTGATCGCACGTTCAGTATCACGCTCAATTCTCAATTATACATCATGTATGATGATCGTACCGATTATCGTTTTATTAACATACATACAAACTGACTTTTCGATACTTGCATATGTTGCTAATTGAAAAAAATTTACTTACAATCTTAAAATGTATACAAATCTCTACAATATATATGAAACTCACAATAATTACGTTTCTACAAAAATTTATCAAAACCTGTACACTGTTGAATGAATCTTTAATGACAGTCGAACTAAAATATAGAGTTTTGAATAATACAAAGAGAAGGAGGTGTTAGATCCAATTCTTTAATGGTTTACTTTAACTCAATTGATAATATTCAAAAATTAATATTATATTCGAGCCTAATTTTTACTTCGTAAAATGATGAAAAACCAACAGAAGATATAATTTTTTAATTAAATTTTGTAATTTATATATTTTTAACATTAACAAATATCTTAATTAAATCTCGACTTAGAAATCTTGTTTAAGATGAATTCACAATAACATGTTACAAGTTCACTTGTATGTAATTATCTTATAAGAAATTCTACAAGATCTCTGTTCTTGATTTTTATTTTTGTTTTTTTTTTTTTGGAGGGGGGGAAATAGAAAATGAATTATATCTTTTTAAATACTCTTTATTATAAACGTGAACATTACTACATATTTATTATCATATTTTCTCTATTTGCTAAATTTTTTTAAACAATTTTAAGATAAAGGTCCAAATGTATTCAACATCGTTTTAACTTCTGTAAACAAACTATGAATGAGCAAACCTGATGTAACACTGCCTCGTTGTTTATTATACGAAAATTACTCGATTAAAACTCATATCAATCTCTGTATTATTATTCCGATTATATTTTGTTTTAAGACGACACGTGCAACAAGATTCAGTAGTTTTGTGATTTAGCAATAGATTTACCAATTGTGACTCTGACGAAACATGAAAACAAGGATCTTGTAACATCGCGCCTTTAGGATTGTAATTCACAGGAAACTGCCGTCTTTCCAAAACGTAAAATTATACGAGCGAGACGATCGAACAAAAAATCTAACGTAGAACTTAAACAAGAGTAATCTTATCATATTCATTAGCGATATTATTGTTTGTAATTCATTGGCTATATTATCTGTAATACATCAATATAATTGTAAGAGAGACGTAAGAATTTCATCAATACTTTCTAACATTTAAGGATAGATATCTCCACGGGGGGAAGAGTGGAAGTCAAATATCAAAAGAATTTGTAAGTTAAAATTAAAAATTTTTTCTTTGTTCGTATCTTTTATTATTTAATATTAATTTATTATTAAACTTTTAAACATTAATATGTGTACATCTAAAAACTTAACATATATGTATATATTAAAACAAGAATAATTTCTGTTATCTATACAATTTGAATGACAAGTATGACATAGTATCTAAATACTTTTGATCATTAAATCTGAAATTAAGGAAATTTGTAATTTGTAGCGTTTTTACATCTAGTTACTAGATGTAGTGGTAGCTAAAATTTCAAAGATATATTTTTTAAGATTTTGTGATTTTTATTTAATATTTTGTGTATCTTAAAACATTAACGTAATAATCATTCCTAAAAGCAAAGAATATGAAATCTCTATTCTTTATAATTTAGAATATTAGTATTTGAACTCAGCATGTATTTGATTTCCACTTCTCAATTGTTCCTACGAACCTCGTATTTCTTAATATCTTCTTTTTTATCTCATTTATGTTTTCGACAAACTTACGTTCTTCCCCCGAGGGAAAAATTACAATTATGATTACAATTAATATTCTTTATGGTGTTCTCTCACAGATATTCATGTGTGTGTACGTTAGATTATAAAACATGAGTGTTATATAGTTCGATTTGATTTTTTAATTTATATTTGATCCTAAGACAACAATCGCACTATCGATAGATTCCTATATATGTTTACTGAATAATATGAGTCCCCCCACCCCACCAAAAAAAATATACGTTGTACAAAACTAATCAGTAAATTCTATTCGTTCTGAATTTTGATTGCATTCGTAGAGCAAAATAAATGAGTTTTGCAACTAGAATTGTGACGTTCATTTTTATTTCAGTCTCCCATGTAACGTATCATGTAATATGTATGTACGTATACGAATTTGAATCTAAAAGTTATGTGTGTTTAAAAAAATGCGAACTATAAACATATGCTAATTGAACTTGATTAATAATCATTTGATTTATGAAACACAAAATTGTTTTTTCTTACTTTCTGTGACTGAACTATTTTAATTTGTTATATTCGCATAAATTCGGATAAAAGTCTTGATCGAAATGCCAAACTCAGGATAACAAA